GGCCTGTAAATGAGTGAAAACTGCATCTATACAATTTTTTTTTCCTTTGATTTTTTTACCTGGATTACTGAGATGCATCAGGATATCCTTTAAGTATACTCATTTTAAACAAAAAAAAAATTTAAAATAAATAAATGAGTATACTTCTAGTTTCCTTTTTATGTACTTACCTATACTTGACTTGTATTAATCAAATCCAATCAACTTTTTTTGTAAAGCAATTTTTCCACCATAGTAGACCAAAGTGCTGTACAGAATCAACACAGCTCATAAAAAAACAAACTCAGTTAAAATTAAAATAACAATAATAATAATTAAAAACAGAAAAAATAAAAGCAGGGAATAAAAAAAACAATAAAATGCCGAAAATCTCTTTTAAAGTCATCTATAAAAACAAGGAATTTTCTACAAAAAATAAAACTAAACTAACAGTTTATTTAGTTATACTAATGTTTAAATTTTTGGCCAAGATTAACTTTACTGAAAGTACATTTTTTTACACAGACTGGTTTGTTTGTAGTATATTTTCAGATTAAACTAAAAGTATATTTTCAGTATACGTCTGAGTATACTTTCATAAACTTATTGTGGGCCAATTTAGTCCTAGAAGTATACGTGTTACTGGATTGCTAGTATACTTATATCAGTGCACATGGTAAATAAAAGTACACTTAAAAAACTTTCAAAAGTCCCAATTTAATACAAACAAGTATTAAATCAGTATACTTTCTAGTACACTTCAAGTACATGATGCCTAAGGTACTTGATATACTTAAATTTACACTCAAGTATACTTAATAAAATGAACTTTTTACTTAGTGCTAAGGGGTTATACTATACACATTTTTCATTTTTTAACAGAATACTTTGTTTAGATGTTTACATTTGGTTTTATTTCATTTCATTAAAAATAAAATAATAATAAAAATAAAATACAAAATAAAAATACAATAAAATAAAAATAAAATAACACACAAACAACCTAATAAAATTATTATTTTACGATCGTCCCCCGGTGTCTTTCAGGTGAGGGTCCCCGAGGACACGTCCCCCTGGAAGGACATCCTGCAGATCAGCGCTCAGGACCTGGACCCCAAAAGCAAGCTGGTGTTCTCCATCCACAGCAGCCTCCCCCCGGACAGCACCAAGCTGTTCCACCTGGACCCCAAGAGCGGCGTCCTGGTGATGACGGAGGAGCTGGACTTCGAGACGGTCTCTGTCCACACGCTCATCGTGACGGTAACAGTTTCACTGTATAGCATGTGTAGAAAGGACCATMATAAATGTGACCCATCACATCGAAATGAGGATTAAATCAAATTTGGTCAAAATGACCTCATCATATTTTCAGATTCCTGCCTTAAAAGCTACGTTTTGATACTTAGATCGTCCTGATATCATTAGTAGATCCAGAGATATTTTTTAATTTGTCTTGTTGGTTACAATAATACATAAATATTTGGTCTGAATCCTAATTTTATGTAATTTTAATGAGGATTTTTTATGTCCTTTGAAAAAAGAAACCTCAAATAGTATTTGAACATTGAGATTTACCAGCTGGAAAGAAACAAAAGCTTTGCTAGCTCACGGCGTTTTTCCTCAAAATCGGGGTTTTGGTTGCTAATGCTCAATAAAGTGCTTCAAAAAAAATTTTTAGCATAATGTTTCAGACAGTTCATTCAAATGATACATTGATAACACATTACTTTGTTATATTTTGGCAAAATGTAATTTTTGTGTTTTAAAAAAAACACTGTATCTGCCTATTTCTCCACAGACAACTTTTAGACTCAGTCCTCGTTTCGATGTGAAGGGTCACAAATGTAGTTTTTACCTGAACCCAAATCGTTAAAAGTATTTATAATCTGAAGGGAGAAGGACTCATTTTAGTTTAGAAACTGTAAATATATTTAAGGCATAAAACCTATAACCGATGAAAGACTTGAAACATTTATTTATTGTAACAGTAATTAGTAAAGTAACTGCAGCTCAGCTTCTTCTCTCATCAACGTTTGAAGAATAAGAGCCTCGTTATTCTCTGACCTCTTCATGAACCCTTCAGGTGCTCGACCAGGAGATCCCGGTGAAAAGGAATTTTGCGAAAGTGGTAATTCACGTGGAGGACTGCAACGACCACTCTCCCGCCTTCCTGAGTCCCCGCTACGARGCCAGCATCTCGAACGTGGCCCCCACGGGCTCTGAGGTCATCCGGGTCAAGGCCCTGGACAAGGACATGGGCAGCAACGCAGACGTCAGCTACTCGCTGCACTCCGGTGAGCAGCTCACCTCCGTTCACCTTAGCTTCATTAGGTTCTACTATCAGCTCCTCGTTGTCTATTTTTAAACACCGGCGCTGCCTCACTTTGACCCCAGACCTTGAATGTGATCCGTTTTGCTGTTTGAATCTTGGAACGGAGCACCGCCTGAACCCAGCGGCTCCAGATCAACACTTTGTGTTGACTCAGAGTTTTATACAGCCAGGAGAATCCATCTTCATAATTGTTTTGTCTCCGTTTCTGCCTAAACGCTTATTTTCTCTACGAAGGTTAAAAAAAAGATACATGAATCCCAGAACAGTTTCTCCCTGTTTTTATCACAGCAGCAGAATCACAAAGACAATTCTTTCTTATTTTCCGCTGTTCTTTATTTAAAAAATAAAATCGATTTGAATATTTAGTTGATTACGATGCTGTCGCTACAACTTAAATCTAACGCAAATTCCTTTTTCCCTACAGGAAATATCGACAACATCTTCTCCATCGACTCAGAGCTGGGCTCCATCCGTGTTTCCAAACCGTTGGACCTTCAGCCTCAGGACCAGTTCCACCTCACGGTGATGGCCGCCGACCAGGGCTTCCCTCAACGCTCCGACTTGACCTCCGTCCACGTCCACGTCCGGGTTTCCGAYCAAACCCCTCCCACCTTCTCCTCGGAGGAGTACTCGATGGAGGTCAGCGAGTCGAGCGCTCCCGGCACCCCGGTGGTCACCGTCTCAGCCTCAAGCCCCGCAGCAGTGCATTATGGGATAGAAAGTGGCAACATAAATGGAACGTTTTACATCAACCCTCACACCGGGGCGATTTCCACCCACAAGTATCTGGACTTTGAGGACTGTGAATCCTATAATCTCGTRGTTACGGCCTCCACCACGGCAGGAGCCACCTCTAAGAGCCTCGTTCACATTTATGTGGTTGATGAGAACGATAACGCTCCCGTCTTTCAGCAGACAGAGTATTTGGGACAGATCAGTGAGTCGGCACATTTAAACAGCATGGTGATGGGAAAAAGAAACACGCCGCTGGTCGTACAAGCATCAGACGCAGATCGAGATTTAAACTCCCTGCTGACGTATCAGATCCTCGAACCCGAGGCCCTGAAAGTCTTCAGGATTGACCCGAGCATGGGCACCATCTTTTTAATTTCACCGGTTGACTTTGAAACCAAGACCGAGTACCACCTGACGGTGCAGGTGAAGGACTCTGGGGAGCCGCYGCTGTACGCACCGGAGCCCGCCAGTGTCACCGTCCGTGTCCTGGACCAGAACGACTGCCCGCCACAGTTCACCACTCTGGTGTACAATGCATCCATCATCTCTCCTGCCGTCAGGAACACAGAGGTTGTGCGCGTCGCAGCCTATGATGCTGACTCGGCAGTCTCATACAGCATCACAGAGGGAAACCTCCATAATGCTTTTTCAATCGACCCCAACACTGGAGTCATCACCGCCACCAATGTGTCTGAGTTCAGGTCATTTTATCAGCTGGGCATCAGAGCCTCAGATGGTTTGTTTAAAGATTTAGCCACAGTCAAAATAAATGTAACAATGCTGATGCCAAGTGATTTTAGATTTGAGCAGAAGGTTTACTCTACGAGTGTTCCAGAAAACCTAAATGTGGTCAAAACTTTGGCAGCACTAAAAGTCACAGGGTGCTATTTAAACGAGCCACTGGTGTATTCTGTMATGAACCCCATGGGCAGGTTTGCAATTTCCCAAGCRTCAGGTGTTCTTGAAACCACAGGAATCCCCTTTGACAGAGAGGAACAAGACRTTTATGACATAATGGTTAAAGTAGAAGACACGAGAAGTCCACGTAGAACAGCCACAGCCCAAGTCAAGGTCTTTATAGACGATGTTAACGACAACTCTCCCCAGTTTCTCAACCTGCCTTTTTCCATCATGATTTCTGAAGACGCAGAGCCGGGAGATGTTTTGTATCAAGTAATCGCCGTCGACAAAGATCAGGCAGAAAACGGGTCCATCTTCTTCTCTGTGGAGGAGGACTATGGCCTCTTCAGGATCGACCCTGATGTAGGGGATATATCTCTTCAAAGACCTCTTGATTTCGAAGCCTTGAACAAATACGAGCTAACAGTGTTAGCTTCAGATGACGGGGTGCCCGGTCATACCACCATGGCTCAGCTCGTCGTTCAAGTGAGGAATCGAACCAACCCGGTTTTCCAAACTCTTCTCTACCCTTTAAAAGTCCCTGAAAACGTCCCTCCATTTACCACCATCCTGCACGTGCAGGCCAGGAATCCAGAGGGTTACCGTCTCATCTACAACCTCATGGAGGAAAACGCTTCAAAGCATTTTCACATCGATTTCAAAACTGGCGTGCTGACCGTCACCAAACCCCTTGACTTTGAAAGCCAGGCGCTGCACGTGTTGACGGTTCGAGCCACGGACTCTGTGTCGGGAGCCTCGTCAGAAGCCTCCATAGAARTAGAAGTGGAGGATGTGAACGACAACGCACCAGTGTTTTCACAGATGGCTTACAATGTGAACGTTGCTGAAGGGCTTCCAGTCGACACCTCGGTGATCCAGCTCTCTGCTACAGACAAAGACTCTGGAAGGAACAAAGACTTAACGTATCACATCGTTAAAACTGATGAGAACGATGCTGATTTCTTTCAGGTAAACCCCAACACTGGGTTGATTGTCACAAAACAGGTGCTGGATTATGAAGACATAAAGCACTTCCTTTTGAAAATCAAAGCCATYGACAATGGGACTGTTCCTCTCAGTAGTGAGACATTAGTTTATATAAATGTCACTGATGTCAATGACAATACTCCAGACTTTGTCAGTCCTCATTATAAAGCTACTCTGGATGAAATGGCAAAATGTGGCCACATAGTCATCAAAATCCAGGCTTCTGATCCCGATTCTGCTGACCTCAGCAAACTCAAATACAAAATCATCTCAGGAAATAAAGACCGATACTTCAAYATCAACGAATCCACGGGAATCATCTCCTTTTCCAACGTCTGTAGGAAGAATTTGGACCCTTACTACAACCTGACCGTGGCCGTGTCCGACGGCGTGTTTCAGAAAACCGCACCAGTCAACATTGACATGATCAACAGCAACAGGCACAGTCCGTATTTCAAACAGAGCGTTTATGAAGCGGAGCTGGTTGAAAACGCGGAACCGGGAACTCGAGTGATACGACTGGCGGCTATAGACCCTGATGACGGACCGTATGGAAGCGTGGACTACACCATCATCAACAAACTGGCTGATGAGAAGTTTGCCATACGCAAAGACGGCCAGGTTGTTACAACTCAGCCGCTGGACAGAGAAAACTCCACCCAGAGGGTCATAGCGATCAAAGTCATGGCCAAAGATGGTGGAGGGAAAGTGGCCTTTTGCACCATCAAAATTATTCTTACAGATGAGAATGACAATGTGCCTCAGTTTAAAGCAACGGATTACCAAGTGTCTATCCAGTCTACTGTAAATAAAGGCTCCCCCGTTATTCAGGTCATGGCTTATGATGCCGACGATGGTAAAAATGCTGACGTCACCTACACTGTCGAAGAAGCTGAACTGGTCACAGAAGACATCATTGAGATCAACCCGTTCACCGGAGTGGTGAGCATTAAGGAGAGTCTTGTCGGGATGGAGAACAAGATCTTCAACTTTAAAGTCAAGGCTCGTGAYGGCAGCCTCCCGTTCTACAACTCCACGGTTCCTGTTCAGATGAAGGTGGTGCCTCCCGAGGTTCCCCTGCCCAAGTTCACCGAGCCTCTCTACAGTTTCTCAGCTGCGGAGGACTTCCACATCGGCACAGAAATTGGTTTTGTGAGGGCTGACTCTGACGTTCCCATCATTTACAGCCTGGTCGACGGGAACACTGTTGAAAGCAACAAAGGGAAAGAGTTCAGCATAGACGAGGAGAGCGGAACGCTGCTGCTGCAGAAGCCCATCGATTATGAAAAGACTAAGTGGTACCAGTTGGATGTGGTTGCTCAGGGGAGTCATAACGGGACGGAAGTTGCGTCTTTAGTTTCTGTTAACATTCAGGTCCAGGATGTGAACGATAACCAGCCTGTGTTCGATGCGAGCCCATACAGGGCGTTCCTGTCTGAGAACATGCCTGCTGGGACCACTGTCATCCAGGTGAGACAAACACACCTTTATTCTATTGGTTTACAACTTTTTGAAGCAGAGAATATTAATAATAGAGTGAGCTCTGCTAAGATTCAAGCTTAAGCTTAAAAAAGGAATTATTCTCAGTTATACAATCTTTAATAATT